GGAGACTAATACCAAGAGGATCAAAGTTGGTGGCTTCCAACAGGTGTACAAAGACGGTCACAGCTAGTTCCTGTATTACCATGCTGAAGCAGTCAGTCAGTAGCAAAATGAATGGTGCGTATTGAGAACCGGTTTTGCGGTTCTCGGCTGATTTACTGTATCCAGTTGATATTCCACAGGGCTTGAAAGACTACAGTGGGTTCCAGTTACTTGATTTCTTTGCACACTAGGTAGAAATATCTGTCCTATGCTTAAATATCTTCTGAGTTGGATAATAATACAAACTAATACGAAATCTGGAAGGAAACGCTTTTTGATAATTTGCTTTCTTATTCGTAAAATGGTACGATGAACCCTCAGGAAGGTATTTAAGGTGGCCGGTTTTAGGCTGCTATGGGGATTAAGGCTTTCGGAGCATTACTCACAGTTGTTTCATCCCAAGGCTGCTGAACTCGAAATGAGGAATCCGATGATCTGAGTCTTTTCAGCAGAGTGTGACAAGTTGAAACTGCTAGGTGAAAAAACAACTATCAATTAACTTCTTCACCATAACTTGATCACCATAAGATCGATAAGAGGGAGTGCGGGTGGAGAACTGACCAAATATATGTCTGAGTTAAACTGCCATGAAGTTACCATAGAAGAGCACCTCTATGTGTTTGTAAATTCATGAACCCCACAATAATTCTCAGTCCTGTGCAACACAATAAAATAGCTCCTCACTGGCTAGTTCGTCGAGTGTTACTGGTTGTTTAATTTTACCAATGTCACTTTGCTTTCCATTCTTCCACCCTTTTGGTGCTTTTTTAGAATATCTAGCTTGAATTAGCCCATTCAATTTTTCAGAAGTACCAGGCACCCTTGATGGCGTGGGTTTCCCCTTCTGGGAGAACGTACATTCCCCGCTAGTTGAATGCATTCAAATGCGATGGAAATGTTTGTGATGACCGACAAAGAACACTAGAGAGCTGTTTCGTCCTGTTTAAGACTCGTCAGCGGTGCGTACTTTTTGTTTCCCTGTCAGGACTCGAACCGCGATTAGTCGGGTTGGGACTCCAAACCCTTACACCTGAGTTACACGGTCAAATTCCCAAAGTCTAGTGCTCTTTGTCGGTCGTCACAAACATTTCCACCGCATTGGAATGACTTCACCTAGTCGTCTAGGCCTTTCTTTATCGCCCACAAAGATTCACCGGATTAAAGGAATAGAAGCAATTTAAACTCCTTGTCACATAATACTATAAAATTCTTATTGTCAGAACAGCTACTCAATGACTGTGCGGTTAACGGAATCGCATTGAGTCAGCGAATTGTCTAATTTAGTTTACAAGTCAGGTTAACTAGTTTTGCTTTGGTTTGGAACGGTCCTCACGGATGTTCCTTATCCGTTGACTGAAGATACTATAAGTATTCTTGGATTCAAAATCGTTCATTTAAAACCGGAATGACTTGAAACATTTCGGCTTGACAAGTTTCATTCTACCAGACTTTTCACTGTAACATAGAGGGTGAGGAAAACAATGTTCCCCAAAGTGTGCCACTCAGTTTTGAATAGCTTCATTTTAGGTCAATAATTTTTTCGTGATTCAGTATTGTACGAATCAGCCCTTTATTGTCAGGTCTAAAGAATAAATACGCAATTTATGTTAGATTTCTTAGTGTAATAAAATGTAGATGTAGCTGTTAGTGCCTTTTTTGTGATTTTCCTTCACCCAACTGGTACTTCCGAATGGAATTTGTCCATTGATCTCAAATTTGATCCTCATGTCTACTGTAGACAATCTCCACTGGGGGCTTCATCACAAATCCAGATACTGTTGAGTGATGCTCAGGATTCCAGATGTGCTCTCATTCTCTTTCGGTCCCTATCTCGCTTGCCAAACCAATACAGATTCGAATACCGACTCCATCAGTTTTTCCAGAGCAAACAGTGAGGAAAAGCGTGAGAGTACAGGGATTTTTCAACCGGCAAAATGAAATAAGGAGAAAAAAGTAAAAATGAATCCACCCACCGTCGGACTCGGACCAGAAACACCGGTAATGTCACACATGCACACACCGAGTGCAACATAAGCACCACACTCGTGAAGAAACAAAATTAGGACAAACTGAATCAAATTGCCGGAACTTTATGCTTAGAACACAAGTTCGGCAGCGAACAATTGTTTTCGAATGAGTCATAATTGTTGTTGTCGTTAGTTGGGACACATTTTCACGTTGGTTGATTCGGGATGAGGAAAAGGGACGAATGGGGTGAGCCCCATGTGTTTGTGCTTAGGGGAGATCGATTGTGACTGGTGTGGTGGTGGTGGTGGTGATCATTTTGGGGCCAGGGCAAGTGGAGAGCTGGAACTAGTCGTTTCATCGAGAGAGACTTTCAAGAAAGGCCACTATCCGAATAGGTTCACATGGCTCAAAAGAAGAAATCATTCATTCGTCTACCTTTTCAAGGAGATGCGATATCTGCCTTGTTAAACAACTGTCTGACGCATGGAATGAAACGAACCTATAACGTAGCTCGATTATCGCGTGTGTTCACAGGTTCACGTATCATCCGAACTAGCCATAAAAATTGGCTGCCTACACTGGCTACCTTTATGGTTATTTAATCCTTGCGGTACTTTTGTAATGCAACGTACAGTGGCCGCACGGTGAGGAAACTATACCAAAGGATGAAGGAAGATTACCCACGCTGGTTAAACAAGGAGACACAGAGAGCATGGGAAGCGTCATTCTTGGTCATCTAGTGGATACAGGCCATCCAACCCGCAACCATTCTAAGGTACTGCAATTACATACACTAGCCACCACTGAGGTGAAGGGAATTCGCCTTTTCACACCAGAACTATTCGCACAAGAGCGATTGATTCAAGCTCTCGACCAATCCTGGTCCCCAACTGATCACCAATAGTCTATCACAATCGATGTCATCCAAACACAGACATATAGAGCTCACTTCACTCCTCTCCTCTCCCCACCCGGAATGACCATTCGACCCATCGTGACCCATCGTCCCTATCAACAACAAACCCTTACATAATCTGTATAGGCACGATTGTGAATCATTGAAAAACAATTGTTCACCGTCGGAATTTTTTTCTAATGCTACAATAGGTTTATTCTGAAAACATATGAATTGAAGAAGTATGTAAGAGAGAGAGGGAAAGCGGTGGAAATGAATTCGTATGGTTTGTAGAAACGTTCTGAAAGGTAAAATCGAAGTCTCTGTGACCGAAACGATAAAGTTTTAACAGACAGGCAAACATTTGTAGCGCAGCTTGATTTAAGTGCACACTGGCGTGGAAATTGGATGGGTATACGGAACACTATTGAGAGTCAATTGGACCATAATTTATTGGTCACCTAGCAACAAACTACGAACACCGTAGAAAAAGCAGGATTTGGATTTAAGCGAACCTAACTGGGTGGATTGGAAGGAGTGCATAGCATTTCACACAGCAAACCTGATCTAGACGTTCTCAAAATGTACATTTTAGAATTTATTTTCGGGAAATCATAAAACGTGAATCATAATAATCGGCAGCGAAATACGCAGTTCACCCAAATGTACTTTACAAACTCTTTTTGACAAATATGAATCACTCTTGGATGAGGTTAATTTGAACCCTTGATTTAATTGTTTCTTTTCGTGGTCCACATGTGTACTTTGGAATGCTCAAAAATTAAAATACTTGCCATAGAAAGCTTATGAACAGCTTTCTTCAGTGCCCACTCCATTCTCGAAAGCTTACCAGGTGATAGAGTGAAAGATGCTTTTGGTACATTATTTTTTATTAGGGCGGTTTGTGATAGCTTTTTCCTTTAACTGGTAAGTATGTATTCTCCAAACCAATCGGGAATCAGACGTGTTTTAGAAAAGCGTGAGCTTTACTCCCCTCCAACGTTTACATAAAAAATCCAAGGACTGTTGAACTATCCTACACGTAGTATGTTGCTGTAAATATGAACGGGAAAACTAATGCCACATGAAGAGGCGCTCTGCTGCTTTCTCGAGAACATTCTCCATGCCGCTCCTCGAATTTGGCCCGATGATAGATTCGATACAGAGAAAAGATTTCACTAATAAGTAATTTTCTTGCTTGCTTTGTAGAAAGCTTTTTTTAATAATAGACATAAATCAAGTACGGTTTCTCTTTTTTGTTTCTCCAGACAAACAAATTGTAGTGTTGTGCATACGAGTCATAATTGGGTCTTCGGGATCAGACTTGATTGCAGAGTCTGAGCGATTAATGTCGGAGGTGCATTTTGGCTACTTGCTAGTTAGGTAGTAGACACCGCGGCAGTGGAAATTTCCTAACTTATTGCCGCGTTTAACTAGAATCGGGCCTGACCTCGCACCGAGGACAGATCATGTGAACGTTTTTGAATGTGTTTTCAACACCTACTAGACGAAAGCGCCTTTATTTCATCTGTTTATTAAATGCACATTTCATGTTCTGTTTCTTGAGAACGCTGTGTGCAAAGGAATGATTAGCCTGATTCACATCTGTTAAATGACCTCCAATGAAACAGATAAACAGAAACATCCAACCCAATTACACAATGACCAATGAATCAATGAATAAAGCCATGGAAGAAGAGTAAAAGAAGAAAACACACAATACTGGTTTGTATTTTTCTGTGCAAAACAGGCAAAATTCATAAAACACAGCTCTTTTTGTTCCATTCTTTCGGACTAAAATCAAGGGGGATAGGTCAAACGCACGAGGTGTGTCGTTGTGTGTGTGCGTGTACATGTGTTTGCGTGTGTGTTCGAGGCATTTTGTTCTTCACGTGAATGACAGTTGGGGATGATTAATACAATGTACGGGATCTGTCTGATGTTCACACCCCTGTTGTGCAGCACTCACTGATATGAGCAGTCTTGTACACACGGACGCACACACACACACGCACTCACACGAGCGTACAACGCTGTTTGATTAGTTGTCTGTCTCTTGCTCTTTGTCACACTGATTGGGATATGTTGAACTGGAGCTCTATTGGAAACACACACGTCCCAACTCCAGACCGATTTGTGCTTGACCATTGGCGTTTGACTGATCAGTCAGAATCATGTCACGAATGGGAAGCCGTTGAGCTCGGGTATCAATCTCGAATGTGGATTTGCCGTTGCCCTGTAAGAATCCAATACCAAATGGAAAAAATCCATGTTAGTTGCCAAAATGAGACTCGACCTCAGTACAGAGTTAAATGCGAGCATGTAATCCATCTGAGATTTATCTATGGAGCTGACTGCGAAAACGAGTGACGTTCTCATTTAAAGCAAAAACAGTTATCTGTGTTGTCTTAAAACTGTTTTGTAACCCACTCTCAAAATAAGCTCCTTTCACTTTTTTATAGAAAACCCGTTACGAAGGATAAAAATGTGCGGATGTAGAGTTGGAACCAATCTTCAATAGTATTCGTCGATCGAGGAACTATTCTAAAACCCTAAATTCATAATATTTTTCTTTTCTTATTCATTTTGACTTCCTTTTATTGAAGGACGGGGAAAGCGGTCAATGAAAGGGCGTCATACAGCACGCAATGAAGAACGTCAGGCGGTGATGGCGGGATTTGAATTCACCACCCTTGGAGTAATAATTGGGTAACATTACCGCCGAATTTGAAGTTGAGTATATGTGATACAAATTATCTGATTGCGCACAACAACCGAAAGAGATGACAAAATACACGTATACAGGAGGTGAAGGAGCCATCGGACACGAATAGCTTAATCACTGCTGGTGAACAATTGTTCAACGTTTGCTTTCATTTTTGATTGGAATGAGAATACTCTAAAGGACCGCATTCACACCCATACAAGCGTACTTAGTTCAACTAGTCACCAAGGCCATTTTTGGAGGAACCGTAAATCACGGTGCGTACTAACCTGGCATCCGTTGTCCACAGTAGTGTAGCGCAGAAGTGGTCCGTCCTCACTAAACACACGGTCATTGTCCGAGAAGAACTGGACACCATTTGATCCGGTCAAATTCACATTGTTGCACAGCACGGTCACCGATTGTACGGCTCGGGAGGCAAGTACTTTCAAAAAGTTTATTTGTTCATCCGGCATACCATAGGTAAACTGAATTAGTGCAGCAGACAAGGGATGAGGAAGACAGAAGTAGAAAGTTTCGGTCAAGTTTGTTAACACTTGACGTGAACTAGACTATCGTATTCGGATCTAACGAAACATTCATAGCTGATTTCTCAATCACGTCTAATGAGACGATTGACCATCGGTTGATTCAATCTAGTAACAGCGCACACGTGAGTGTGTTTGTGTGCAAAAAAGAATCATTACTCACTCGATCTTCTCCACGAATCTTGGTGAACCACACTTGATCGTCGCTGGTGGTGGAATAAATCTCACTCAGATCGTATGATTGGATAGTCGGTTCCAGACAAGTTTGCCGGGACTGCATACGACAAAACACTTCCACTGCGTCTTTCGCCGAACCACCGTTAGGATCGATCCAGTAACGACCTGATTGGACAAGATGTCATCGATTAGTGGATATCGTTTTCACAATTTCTTTTTAAGAGGCTCATAGGGACAGGGACTTACCGTCTGGAAGTGAAGGATATGATTGAGCAAGATGCCGACATGATCGAGCAGGATATTTACGTGTTCCATTTGGCATGTGCAGTTGTATGGCCACGACGTCCCTCATCATCTTTCCGTATCCCAATCCCATGGCTGGAGGTCCAGGTGGTCCTGGAGGACCTGGAGGACCTTCATTACCCATTGGACCAGGTGAACCACGAGGTCCATCTTTTCCAACCGGACCTGGAGGGCCCATTGGACCGGGTTCTCCGATAAAGCCAGCTTCTCCGGGTAGACCAGGCAAACCAGCAGGACCGACTTCACCTGGTAAGCCTGATGGTCCCATATAACCTCGTGGCCCGGGCAATCCTGGTTGACCCGGGTTACCAGGTAGACCGGGATCTCCTGGTGGTCCAGTCCAACCTTTGTGTCCAGGTGCGCCTGCTTTACCCTGACGTCCGGGAGCGCCGTCAATTCCTGGTCGACCGGGGAATCCTGGTAAACCGAGTTGACCTTTCGGACCAGGGGCTCCATCTGGTCCAGGATCGCCGGAGTCACCGCGTTCTCCGCTTGGTCCATCTGGTCCAGGAATACCAGGTGCACCACTCAGTCCAGTCGGACCCTTTTCACCAACTTCACCTGGAGGTCCTTGTGGACCACGTTCACCAGCAGCTCCCTGACTACCTTGCGGACCTTGTTCACCGGGAGGACCTGGGGGACCAATGTCACCATCCGGACCGAGAGCTCCAGGAGGACCAGGTGGTCCAGACAATCCAGGAGGTCCTTCCTTACCAGCTGGGCCAGCTTTACCTTGAGGACCAGGAGCACCCATTGGACCGGCAGGACCAGCAGGACCTGGTCGACCTGGTGCACCCATTTTTCCCTACACAGTGTAAACAAGGGATGGTGTAAAGTTTGCCCAATGAAATCATGAAAAATCAACAGCATTTATGAGTAAAATCGTGGAAATCAAAATTTATTTTTCATCTTTTCATCTTTCACAGGTGATGCAGAGCATTATGAGTATTTTAAAAGTATTAATATCGACAGAAAAGAACAATGGAGAAACAATGATAAATCCTCATCTCAAATGCGGAGGAAAAATGTCTATATATCTACCTATGTCTATCTGTCTAGGTAATTAAGAAATTCTCTTCAAAAGCTTGGTTACTTAAAAAAGTAAATTTTGGAAAGGCGGAAAGTCTGGTCGATCTACTCATACACACGATTTGCTTAGTTGTTTGGGAACATCACTTTCACTTCACATCTAAAATAAAATGACTGCAAAAACAAGTGCAACATTTCCGTTCTGCGATGGTATTCACCGATCAATTTTCAGGCCTTTCCATTATAGACAACAGCGTATCGTAACGCGGAAAGAGCGAAATCCCATAACCATAAATAGCTGGTCAGCAATAATGGATCTGTTGCTATCCAACAAATTAGGCTCCATGTAAATGGATTGAGTGTTTAGGTGTAAGGGAGAATGGATTCTAGGCAAATGAATGATTTATTGCATGTGTTTTATTGAAGAACTTCATACGGTTCTTGAGTGACCATGACAAGAAGCAAATAGACAAATATTCTGAGAAATGAGCTAACCTGTGGACCTGGAGATCCGTCGTTTCCTTGCGCGCCTCGCGGTCCAACTTGACCTCTCAAACCCGGAGGCCCATCTTCACCAGGGGGACCTTTAAGACCGTCTGCACCTGGAGGACCGGCAGGACCACGTGGACCTGGGGCACCTCGCAATCCCGGTGCACCCGGAGAGCCAATTGTTCCATTCACTCCTTCAAGACCAGGTAGACCCGGTTCTCCAGTAGGGCCAGGGATACCTGAAGGACCTGGAGGTCCAGGGTTGCCTGTGTCACCCATCTTGCCAGCTGGACCTTGCGGACCTGGTGGGCCGCGAGGTCCTGGTTTTCCAGCTCTTCCCGGATTGCCTGGACGACCGTCTTTACCATC